ATATATATATATATAAATAAATGAATACTAACTTCTCCTTGATTTCAATTTTTTTGAACAAACAATTCATCCTTATACATAATTATATTTATATCGTAAAAAAAAGTGTATCTCATTTGTTCATTGTGATACTAATCCATAATACTGTAATTCTGTCGGATAAAAATAGTTCTACGAGAAAAATTATAAACCTTGTGAATCATCTAAGATCTATATTTATCTACTGATAAATTGGGGCTATCGGAAATGAAGAAAAAGTTCTTTATTATGTCCCTATCGAACTTGTAGTTGTAGAGAGAAATATATCGAAGTGAAAAGAAGCCATTACCTATCATGTTTGTGCAATTCTGTATTTTTAAGAAAATGATTAACAGTAGAACTATCGGCGACTAAAGCATAAAATTTTCATCATTAAAGTAAAAAGATAGAAAAATTTTATAATACAATACAAATATCGTAGCCAACACTGGCTTCTATTTTCACGTTTCACGAAGTGAAAATTGTCATTTGAAAAAACACATTGTTTCATGTCTATAAAATTTCGAACAAAAATTGTAAATTGATCATTTTGATCACTATCACTTGTGATATCTAGTGATATCAATTTACTAACTATAAATTAATATCGGATATCAATATATTAGTATTAATTTCAAATATATGTGGAACTTTGATAGAAAATTATTCTGTCTGTATAATTATAAATAAAAAATATAAATAAAGTAATAAAATAAAAATATTATCTGCATTTAATCTCTAAATTTCTCATGCACCTAAGTGCACAAAAATTCACAGTCTAATAATTACTTTCGTCGATAATTATAAAATTAAAGTATTTACGGTAATGATCACAAAGATATTCACCTTTATTTTAGTCAAGTTCTAAAATTAAATAACCCAACAAAACTACTCCGACAATCTATGACTCAATACTTCAATTCAATCGAGAGTTCAGTAACCTCGAATATTATTAATAGACGGCGGATATTAATAATTTGTAACATTTTCATCTTGCGAATTAAACAAAAAAAAAAAAAAAAAAAATAGAATCCAGATAAAAATTTGTTTTTTGTTACCTAAATATTATAACAACTCTAAAAATATTATAACAACTCTTTCGATATTTCTATACTATTTTTACATATTGCGTGGAACTCCGCAGTTCAATTATTAACAACCACGCTATAAATAGAACTCTCGCATTTGCAAAGAAAACAATAAGAAATAAGTTGCGGCTGTGTATTCACATGGGAATGGTTAAGTCGGTTAATGATTTTCCTTTTAATGGCCATTTGATGTCTCGTTTTATGAAAATTACTAACAACCCTCGTTTCCTCCCGGGCGTCGTTCTAAAAATAAAGGGCCGTCGTGCATATCATTTCGTGTCACTGCTTGTACGAAAGACTGCATTCTAATTAAATCGTCAATCTTACCTTCCCGCAGGTTTTTAAAAAAACGATCTACTGTGACGTAACAGCGCGTAATAAATTGTCCTGCCCCGGTATAATATCGCGTAAACCATCCGAACACTGGTATTACATTGAATTGCTGGTTAACGTTTGTCATTACAGAACTTAAACATACGTTCGTGTTTCTTCCGTAGTTGTATTTTACAACTGATTGTTTTCTGTAATTTTTTTCTTTTTTTTTTTAAACGCACTTCAACGTTAGGAATTTGTATTTTTGTACATGTAACAACTTCAGAGGAAATCTTCTCGGATTTCTTTTTTTTTTTTTTTTTTTTTTCAATGAGGATATTAACATTGTACCTATTTTAATATCCTTGGTATTTTTGGAGTCGATAACCATTCAGCCATCCCTACATGTTCTTGTCGGCGTAAAAATAAACGAGAAAAGATGAGGTGCGAGGAAAATCGCGCGAATAACTGAAACGCGACGGATGGCGACGTCGAGTGAATTTTTTTCAATGCTCAATGTACGAATCGTAGATATATAGGATGTCCCTGAAACATCATATAAGAAACTAAGAAACTCAAATTTAAAACTTCTTTTTAGAGAGAATTTGAAAATTCTAACGATTTACTCCAATACTAATAATTTAAATGAAATTATCATGTTAAATATTACTTTCTAATTTTAGTTTATTACATTTTATTTAAATGTTTATTTAAAATTAATATCAGAATTAAATTAAATTTATATTATCTACCGTACTGAAATTGATAAATTTTATTTATTAATATAAATTAATTTATTATTAATATTAAATTTGGCTAATTTCAGAGAGTTCTTCGTGTACAGATATAAAATAAAAAATATAGAATGAAATCTGTATTTTTAAGAATTTGCCACAGTTACACGTGCTTGCTAAGCTACTGTATGCTTGCTAAATTTTTGAATTTAATTTTCTCGGAAACGGAACGCCGTAGAAAATAGATTTCGTTTCACCTTCGACGTATATTTCGACAAATTTCCAAACTTGATTTTCTCGAAAACGAAATTTTAAATGAGAAAATGTTACTACGTACAATCCTACACAAAACTTTGAAGTTTGGAGTATGTTCGAGTCTTTCTAAAGAAATGATGAAGTAATATTTTATTTATTTATTTTTTTTATATTTTATTTATAATATTGTCATTTCGAACTATTAGAGCTATAATTCAGAATTGAATTATAGTGTTCTTATTATATTACACGATGAAATTTATTTCATCCAAAAAGCAAAGGGTGTTCCAAATTTTTGAATGACGATGTATGTACACCCCCGCTTGAAAGTTTTACGGCAGATTTGTTTCAAAATTGGAAAACTAAATAATTTTATGCTATATATTATATATATTTTTTTATATATATTTATTATATATTTTTATCAAGATACAATAATAATACCATATAATTACAATAATAAATAATATATATAATATTTTCTTATTGTAATAATAATTGAAGCAATAAAATATTACAATAATGATACAATATAATAGAATAATATAATTTATAGATTTTATATATATTTTTTTAGAATAAAAATTCCATTGAAACAAGCAAAACAAGTAAAACTACAAAATTTTTATTTAACGATATAATATGTTAATATGTCGAAAGTTTAAATTGAGTTAACATAGGCTTCAATAACAAACCAACTAATGATAATCAAATAGATGTTACGCTATTTTATAAACATCATGTTTGTATTCAGTAACGTCCTTAGCCTCCTAATAATTCATTCCAAAGAGAAACACAAACCAGTTTTAAACTGTGAATTACCTATGTAAATGTTACGAATACGTAACGAATTCAAAACATGAATTTAACTGTACTAACTATTGATATTGTTGCAGTACTATTCATTAAATGGCATTCAGTATTTGTTACAGTGATCGAGAGTATTTCATAACGTTAATGAACAAATTATCTGTGACAGAAAAATTTTCATTTTTATACTTTCTTTTCGAACTGAAACTTTTATTTTCAAGTCTACTCTATTTATTTTCTCTATCTCTATCTATTTTCACAACTCTATCATTGGAACTTATAGAAACATATGTACATATTGGATATCTAAATTTCAAATTCCATTAAAAATCTTTGTAATTTTGTTCCTTTTTCAACGTTGCTTTTAATATTTCAATAGTTCACGACTTTCCTGCAATTATCAATTTTCAAATTTCACATCCACTTTTTACTAAATGCTCTTTCAGCACATATCCAGTTGTAAAATCTTCAGCCACCTAGTTGTCACCATATTCCATTAATAATCTCTTCATATTCTTATCTTATTAACTACTATGTTGTTAATATGTGACCGTATATATGTTGTGATTATACTTATACGCGATATAT